GTTCTTTTTATTGAGGGCTCGTAACAAGAGGGTTTAGTACACAGCAACAGTTAATTCCAAGTACAATTAAAAAATAAATGTAAAAATTGGGTTTTGCACTCACTGGCAGGTGACTGAAATGGCACACACACGACACGCCACCGGCGGCACGCGGCGCCCCGGGACCCCCCTCGGGGGCAGGGGGTGCCTCTGCTCTGCTCTCAGGAAAAAAGGCATGGCTCAAACCCATGTTAGACACTGACATCTCCAGAGAATTCATAGAAACTGCTTGTCCATGCAAGTTGCAAAAGACACTTGTTCAGATGTGAAAAGAAGCACTTTGTTCTTTACAAAAAAAAAAGGAGTCATCTCAGGCATGTCAGCACTTTCCCAAGGTGCTGTGAGGGGGTGAGTCTGTGCACAGCTCTCCCTCAGTCAACAGGGGCAGGACTGCTGAGGCTTGGAGAGAAATGGGGGGAAAGAAACTGCTTGTCCATGCAAGTTGCAAAAGACACTTGTTCAGATGTGAAAAGAAGCACTTTGTTCTTTACAAAAAAAAAAGGAGTCATCTCAGGCATGTCAGCACTTTCCCAAGGTGCTGTGAGGGGGTGAGTCTGTGCACAGCTCTCCCTCAGTCAACAGGGGCAGGACTGCTGAGGCTTGGAGAGAAATGGGGGGAAATGTAGGGCAGGTGTTTCAGCAGAGTCGCCGTGTTTTTCCTCTGGACACAGCCTGCTGCTGACCTTACTGACTTGTAATCAGCAAAGGTGTTATTAAAATTAATATGTTTAGAGTACCAAAGAAAAAATCCCCTTCCTGCAGGGGCAGGTGACTGCACAAAACACATGGCTGTTTGTTTGGGGTTTTTAATGGAAGCAGCAAAACACCATGGTCTGTGATTTATTTGTTGTATCAGCAGCTGGCAGCCTTGGCTGCAGGAAGCTTTCAGCACCCTTCCCAGGGTGGGAGGTGGGGTCCCAGGAGTCTCAGTTTCAGAGTCAAAAGTAGATCGATAGGGCTGTTGCTACACTCTGACCTCAGCTACTGGAAGGGGAAAAATAGAAACAAAAAAAAAAAACCAACACAAAGTGTTCCCTTCTCCCTCCCACTATTCTGACACCTGTGTAATGCCATTTGACCCACAGAACATGGCACTGCCCAGCACTGGGAGATGCCAAGTGGTGAGGAGTGGGGCCTCTTGCAGCCTCCAGCAGGTTGCCCTGAGGAGAAAACAGATGCCACCTGCTTCACAGAATGTTCTCTCCTGCCTCCTGGGGGACAACCCTCCCAGAGCATGCTCCCAGTTTACCAACCTGCATAAAGTCCCATCCTTTCTGGAAAGGAAAATGTTAAAAGTTAGTTCTGCTTTTGGAAGCCCAGCAAATAAGCTAATAAAAAGGGAGCTCATCTATCTCCAGCAGTGGGGCACATCCCCAGCGCCTGCTCGGGAGCAGGGGAAGTTTCTGGGAAGGACACAGCATTAAGTCCCTGTCAGGCAGAGGTGGGGACAGCAGAGAAGCACAGTGGTTGTCTCAGCACACAAACCTCCACCCCTGAACACCCTCCTGCCCCGGGCAGGCACCCACCCTCTGCCAGAGCAGGAGCACGGGTCCTGCTGCAGCACTGCTGGCTGTCCATGGGCCACTGACACATCCTGCAGAGAAGTGCCACCTCTCAGAAGCTGCATCATTTCCAAGGCCAAGCTTGGATGTTGCCAAGCATCCTCAGCAGCAGAATAAAAAGACAATGCCCAAGAGCTGTGAAAGGAGCCCAAACTGCTCTCAGCAAGAACTAGATGGGTCTAGGCCTTCCTGGCACCCGCTGGCAAGCCACCCAGCTACAGAGCTCAAACCAACAGCCCTCTCCAGCCGTTTCAGGAACACCCAGCTGAACCCCAAGGCCAAGCTGTCTCTCAGTAGTGTGGTCAGCCAGCCAGGATCACACACCAGCTGCTGCCCTCCAGCCCAGGGCCAGCACTGCCTGTCCTGCAGCAAGAGCAGAGCTCTCCAGCTCATCCTTTCTGCACCTCACCGCTCGGGCCAGCAAGGCTTCAGCTCTCTGCTCCCTGCCCCAGCCCTCAGGCATGGACACACCATGCTGCTGCTCGTTCCTCTCCCCCTTCTGCTGCAACAGCCAGTGAGAGAAACAAAGAACAAGAATCCATCATGAAAAAAAACCAATGGTGAGACAAACACAACCTCAGCCCTCTCTCTGAGGCCAGAAAGAAGGCAGCCAAGTGACCCGCTGGGCTGGCCCTCCTCACACAGGCACGGGCAGAGAGGCAGCTGTAGTTAAAAGCTTTGTCCCTGGGGCCAGGAGCAAGGCAGAGATCTCTGCTACTGCACAGCAAGGCAGAACAAGCACCACAGGAGGCTGCTGACTGCCCTCTGCACGCGGTGTGAAGCAGCTGGCTAGGCTAAGGCTGTGCTCACCAAGCTCATTTTGGCCACACAGCTCTCTTGGGGTTGTTCTGGAGTGTCTCCTCCCCCCACCCCTCCCACACATGCTCACTGCTGATGCAGCAGCCTGTGAGTGATGCTGAACACCTTTAGCTGTGGCAGCAGAACTTGGTGAAGAGATGTTGTGCAGCTGTTTGAAATATGGAGGCGTTTCCTCCCCTCCATTCTCCACCCCCTTTTAAAGTAACCTTGTAAATTAAAAAGGGGAGCAGGGGGGGGCTTTGAAGAAGGAGAAGTACAAGGGACAAAACTGGAAACACAACCCCCACTGACTTTACTAGCATGCAAGCTATGTGACATTAATATACAATGCCTGTTTACCTTGGCCTCGTCTATGACCGTTACATCACATCACCCCCCAACAAGCCACAGAATTCAAATCTGTACAAAATAAGAATATGAGTAAAACTCAACAAATTTCTTTACACTGGTACTGCATAATAAAGCATAAAACCAGCAGGAGGTGACCCAAAAAAATTCCATTCACAGCAGCTCTTGCAGAGTAGTTCCACGTGCCATCAGCAGGGACCAAACTGAGCCCTGGCCCATCAGACTCAAGCCAGGTTTTTAAGCAGCTTCACACATCTCACTGGGAAGGTCTGTGCAGCCTCGTGCTCTGTGCTGAGCTCTGGCAGGTGTTCAGCACCCCCTGAGCTCACACTGCTCCTCTCCTGCCACACAGAATGCCTGCAGGCTGAAGGAAGAGCAAGGGCAGGGGTGTGGATGGCAGGCAGCACCCTCACCCCACCCGTGAGGGGCTTGCTGGGGCTCACTTCACTGGGTGTGCCCCCCTAGCTGGAGCTCAGTGCACAGAGAGGGGTGACTCTCATGCAGTGACTCAGCTGCCACAGCTCGATGGAGTTGAGCAGTGTGTGCTCAGGCTGTCACACAGGGCAGGAGGACCCAGGACAGCTCTGACAGTGCTGGGAAGCCCAGCTGCCCTGTGAGCAGCAAGGCTCCTGCAGTACTGCTGGTCACTCAGCTGCCTGCTAGCCACAGGGCAAGCACCACTCCCCGTGCAGGCAGTGCAGAGCTACCTGCTGGCATGGGAAACACTCCTGGGGCTGCACAGCCAGCCTCCCTGGCCTTGCTCCCAGGGAAAGGATGGGCTGGGGGAACTCAACGTGGCTGCTTCTTGCTGGGAGAGAGAATAGTTTTCACAGGAAGGTAGAAGGGGATCTGTTCTGGCTAACATCCCAAACAATGATGCTGTCAGCTTCTAGAATAGACAACAACAGCTTCTTGGCTACATGGCTGTGGCATCAACGTCCCTAGTCCCTTATGCACTGCCACAGAGGTAACACAGGCTCACAGCAGGGGATCACAGTCACCCACGTGCCACAGACACCCCTCACCTCTTCCTCCTCCTTCCTCCAGCTCCCTGCCCAGGCCTGCAGGAGTCAGCCCACCGTGCTAACAGGACTGGAGCAGGCAGTGTGCTCAGTTTGCTGCTCATGTGTGGCATGTACCCAGAGGTGGCTCCTGGTCCCTCCCAGGGCAGGCAGTGCCTCTCCCCGACCTGGCCAGCACAGCACCCAGCACCATGCTCACTGAGGCTGGATGAGAACACAAACCATCAACACAAGGGGCAACAGGGCCTTGGCTTGGCACCACTGCACCCCACATCCACCAGCACAGCCCAAAACACCTACTTCTCTGTGATCAATGATGGGGAGGGCCAGGGGAAGTGCTAAGACTACTACTAGTTACTGCTCGGATTTCCATGGGAAACCAGTACACACAAGAGCCCTTTTTTACTGCCACTACAGAGATTTTGGCAACAGGCATGAGGATGACAATTGCTGCTTGTCCTGCCTCTGCACAGGGCTCTCACAGGACGTATGCAAATCTAGTCATCAAGTACAAAACAGCCAATTTACAATACCTGATTGGATTTGTAAGATTATATTGTGCATAAGACTAAAGTTGGGGGCAAGTTTCTCTAGTGCAAGCAGGCATGAGGAGATTTGAACCTTAGATCACAGCCCCTAGAGTTGATCTTCAGACCCTGGGAGGACCTGTAAACTTTGTTTCACCTTCACCATCAAGGGCATCTGTGAGTTCTGTTCCAAGGGGCAGCACCCGTGGCGAGTAGCTCGCTGCAGAGAGCAGCACATTTACATCAGTGCAGAACACAAAAATCTGTGGCATTCAAAAGAAGAGGAAAGGAGGGTGGGGTCATCTGGGCTGCAGCCATCTTCATTGTCCAAACTGAGAGGGGAGTGAGTGAAGCCAGCTCTGTGTGCCCATGCCAGCCTACGTGTGCAGAGCACCTGCACAAGTGCTTATGCTAAGGATGGATCCAACTATCTGGAAGTAAGTTACAGGAACGGCTCTGTGCAGAAATCCCAGTGTCTGCTAGTGCACAACTGCTCTTCCAGCTGCACAGGAGGGTAGTGTAGAAACAGGAGGCATGTCCATGGCCAGTAACCCTTCACCACAAGCATCCAGGAGACCCCGAGCGCCAGGCACTGCTGCCAAGGGGAGCACACAGCATTCCTGAGACAGATCCCAAGGCCTCCCAGAAGACGTCAGAATTGGAGTGAAGCATCAGCTACTCAACAAGTCTGTTCCATGGGGATGGGTCAGCTCAATCCACGGCCAGGCAGCTCAGGACAGCCTCTGCTGGCAGCCAAAGGGCCATTTGTTCAAACAACTCAAATCACTACTGTTTGATAATGAGGAAAAAAAACAAACAACAAAAAAACCCCAAAAAGAGTGGTTGTTACAATTATCCTTCATTCAGTTACAGTGGATGGGGCCCCAGAGGCTTGTGGAGACCTGGGAAGCCCTGACAGCTCCTGCAGCAGGAGATGCAGTGTTCTGTCCTCTAGTCTTCACTCTGAGTAATGCATGATTGACTCCACATAGTTCCCTGGGAAGAGCCCTGTCACTCCATTCATCACCCCCTCATACCAGCCGTCATCATTCTTCTTGATGACATAAATGATGGCACCTTCCTGGAAGGAGAGCTCATCTTCCTTGTCCTTGGTGTAGTCGTAGATTGCCACCACTAGGAAAGAACAGAGCATGACTGTCAGGAGAGGAGCAGGGAGCAGGAAAACCAGCCTACCTCCCCCAAAGTTCTCCACCTCTCAGAGAACTGCACTGCCTCACGTCTCTCTGCAGCCTGAATCCCAGTGAGGAGGCAGGAAGAAGTCAAGGTGGTTCTCTGAAACAAATCACACACCTACTGTACCAGGATGTTTTCCTTACAGCTGCAGAATATTTCACAGAAGGCACAAAAGCTGTGAGGAAAGTCAGAGAAACTGGACAAAGCACTGGAAAGATTTTAAACATTTAAAAATTAAAGAGAGTCTTGAAATGGCAGGAAATAAACATCAGCTTGCTATGTTTTTCCATTCTCAGTCCTATCATTACGTGTTCCACACAGAAAATTAGCTATGCTGGACTCCAAATACTTCTACAAACAGCATCAGTCACTCCTTTGAGCACTTGGCAATGAAACCTGTAGTGCTGCCATTGAAATGAAATGGATGTTGGAGGGGGATCCTAAAATCTTGTACTGGGGACAGAAGGGAAGATACTCAAAATCAAAGCAAGGAGAAAAAATTAACAGTATGTCCACTAAGTGTTCATGAGCAGTGTCCAAAAGTCCCACAAAACTCATCACTTTCAGAATAAAAGAGTTCATTTCCTTTGGAGGGAGCAAAGGAATCAATACAAGTATTTCCTACCTGCATCCTGACTAGTTCTCCAGTGAAATACACAAATAAACCCCAGTGGAGAATCAGACTGTGTACAGAAATTGATATCTTTTTTCATAAATCTCCCAAACAGGAGATTTGTGTCATTTCACCAGAGTATATTTAAAAACCACACGTTGCTGGCTCCACACTTGTGCCAGCACAGTTGTTAAGCAACTCATCTAACTGGCTTTAGACATAGCATGGAGGAATGAGCACATTTTTAGCTTGAAAAACAGAAGTCACTGTATGAACATGTGACACATTCAATTAAAGTCCTTCAAAATGCCTTTTTAACTGCCTTCTAAGCCTGCTCATTTTAAAACATTTCTTCCTAGAGTCACTGGGCTGCTGTGCTTCATTCTTTTGTTAATAATAATAATCCAAGAATGGCAGAAACTTCCAATTCCCTTCCAATTTTTTGGTGTACTCTAGTTCCTTCTGGTACTATTTAATCCTTCTGTCTGTAGTGCCACCAGTTCAAGTTTGGCTGAACTCAGGGACACCAGACTGACCCCAAGTGTGGGCCAGCTGGAATCTGGCAGCTGTGGCCACACACTGCCTCTGTGTGGGATGAGGGTAACTTTTCCTTCTATGGCTATCAATTTCTGCTCCTCTGATATGCAAAGCTGGGACATCTCCTTAGCTTGTCATGCCACACACCCAGACACACAGCTCAAAGGGAAGCTGCAGTGTGCTTTGTGGACACTGCAGCTTGCCTGATGCTACTACTATCCTATCAGGACAAGCAGATGCACTCTTTGAGTACAAAAGTCCTCTTTTAGCTTGTTTGCTACCCAAAAATCACAGCCAAGCACTGCTCTCCCACCTCCAGCAAAGCAGTCAGCTCTCTAGATGTGGGCTGAACTGGAGCAGAGCTGCTCAGATGACTACAACAGAACCCACACCTGTGTCCCTAACTCATCTTCCTGGTGTCCTAAAACTATTCAACACTGCTTCATATATTGCAAGCAATTTATTTTTTTTATTACTTTAATAAGCATTTCTAAGAACAGACTGACCTTTTAGATGTTTTAGTCATCTGGTTTTCAAAATATTATCTAGAAAAACCATTACTATCTAATCTATAATAGTTTTTGCATGAGACTCTACATCAATCTGAGAGAATCTTTGGTTTCTTGTACTTTTGCTTTTCTGCAGGAAAAGTGTTCAGACTAAGACCCTGACTTTCTCCAGCTCATCATTAAAGACTCTCATGACAGTTTTGCCACCCCATGTGATTTTCTCTGTAAATACCAAGCCAGATGTGCCTGGGCTGCCTGCTGAAAAGGAACAGATCTGTGCCTGTATGCACCTGTATGAATTATTTCAGTCCACAAGCTCTTACAGAGTCTCCCAGAAAAGCAGCTCAGAAGAATAAGCTGTCATTCAAATGTCAGTATTTCTTCCAATAGAAAAGTGTTTTCCTGGGACATTTGCCACATGATTTTGTGGCTTCTCTTCCCCACAAACACACTCTCACACACACACACCCCTTTGCATTTCTCTGGGACAATATAAACAAGCAAGGCACATCAGGGGCCTCTTCTTTCTCTTTTGCTCCTAGCTGAAATGCCACTGAGGATTTGCTGAGGGCCAGGTGGCAGGAGTAACAGAAATACACCAGAGCAATACAGATGTAGAATTAGGTGTCTTATGCCTGAAAAAATACAGAGAAAAATCTTGAGACTCATTCTCCTATCAAAAAGTGATCCCTTCTTACCCTGTTTCCCCTCATGGAAGTAACCTTCCCTGACCACAGTAAGCTGAAGCAACTGCTAATCAAAGAGCCTGTGTGCCACAAGAGATTAGCAGTGACACTTGCAGCCAGTCAGTGGTGTAGAGAGGTCAGTAGATAAAGCAGTCATGTAAACACCCTGCAAGTCAGACACTTTATCTGAGAAAGATTCTCAGCTTGCCAGCAAAGCCTGGGTGCTCCTTGCACTCAACACTTAGAGCAGCTGGAGGGAGGGTGGGGGAATAACAAACTCCCACATGTTCCTTCATCTCCCTCAGGAACAGTAATACTTACCTGGGGTTGGAGTTGGCAGAAAATGCCTCTTCCATCTCTTTTTATTCCTTCCCCTCAAGTTCTGCACTGGGTTTATCTTTGTGGCACTCTTCATTTTTTAAATTATTTCTTTTTTCCACTCAGCTGAGATATCTGGTTGCTTCGCAACATTAGTTTTTATATCAGCCTTTACTAAGATACATCACCCTGTTTTACAGCAGAATACCAGCCAGTAGGTTTTCTTCACATTCAAGAACCTCTATGCCATTTACCTACTTCATTTATTTTACTTGTAGCCTTACTCCAGGGTGTTTCCACACCCCTGTTTCAGAACTGGAAGACACCAAGAAGCAGCCACACAGCAATGCCTCAGTCAGTGAGTCCTGCTCAGCTCCAGCCCTTTGTAGCTGAGCCCTGCAGCTGCCAGAGCCCCAGACACACACTGCAGCCCTTCTCAGGCTGCACTCCTGTGTCCACAGCTGTGCAACTGCAGCACCAACTCGTTTGGTTTTGACCTCATATGAGTTTGTTAGGATTAAGCAGACTACTGAAAGGTGAGTCTTAAGCAGATCACAGAGGATTGACAAAATATGTAATTAGCCAGCTAATCATTATGTTCCCTTTGTGGAGAATGGGGTGAAAGAGTCATGACTCTAAAGAGGAGCTTAAATTTCTCTCTTTAAGCTGCCATTTGGAGGAGCACCTCTACCACAGAACAGATCATGGGCTACAGGGAGTTGAGGCAGGCTCTGCCTGAAGTGAGATGGCAGAAGCTTGTACAAAATGTTGTTACAAACATGACCCCACCATCTCTACTAGCTCTAGACCCACCTTTTTCTAAGTAAGTCCTTGGTGCCCAAGGAGGGTCCTCCTCAGCATATGGGTCACTGTACTCCACCACAGCTGCTTCCTCTTCCTCGTAGTCCTCTGGAGGTGGAGGTGGAGGTGGAGACTCATCAAACACTGTCTCGTCCACAGGAGGTGGGGGGGGAGGAGTATCTGAAACTGAAAACAGGCAATAGTGTAACCATGAAAATGTCTCTGGAACCAGGGCAGCAGGCTGAAGTAAACCTTCCCATCCCAATTAGTGGCACTGGGACCAATAGAACTTGTGGAAATACATTAGAGACAATTAAATTCAGATAAAGAATAATCAGGTTCCTCTACTAAAATAGTTTCCTCTTTCCTCCCTTTGCAATTTCAGACAAACTTGCAGAGGCAGTAGAGAAGGCAGAATTCTGGCTATATACAGACAAATCTTTCATCCACTCAAAAGCCACATCCAGTAATAAATCATAGCACAAGGAAGCAGCAAACTTACTGTTTTCCTGAACTCTGGCCACAAATCCCATTAGCGGTAACTGTGGAGTTACCTGTAGGATGGAGGGGGGAGGAGGAGCAAGGGATGCTGCCACAGGAATTAAAAAGAGAGAGGCATTCAGTTAGAAACACAACAGGGCAGCAAACAGGAAAGTCCACATCATCACCACTCAGACAGTGCAGCAGGCTGCCAAGAAGCTGAGATAAAAAGGCCGCCGTTGAGGAACAGCTCAAGGGTTTCAGCACACTCCTTTATTAACAGATCCAGCAACTCTATCAACAGGATTCTCTCCCTGCAATCCTTCACCTCCCAGATCAAATGAATATTTATAGAGGTGACTTCTGTAACAGCATCCACCAATCCTTTGTAATGAAAATGGATTATAACTGGTTTTCTCCAAAACACGGGCCAAAAACCACATCAAGTGAGGCAGTTATTTTAGGCAAAGTGGAAAAAGATGCCTCTGAGAATTGAGCTTCCTTGGAAGAGGCAGGACTTGTGACCTTACTGGTAGAACAAAGTGCTGCTGCAGGGCCTATTCCAGATGTGCTGCTGCAGGGCCTGCTCCAGATGTGCTGCCTCATTTCCCTCCCCCACCATTTCCCTGAGCCCTGCACTCAGCTCTGAACGGCCTTTTTACTGCTGCCAGAAGAGCTGGGTGTGTCCAATACCTGTGAATTCACAATTAAAGAAGATATTCTCAACCAGCTGCAAATGTTGTAACATTGAACCGTGGTGTAAGGCAGGAATAAAAGTTTAGCTGGGTGTGTCCAATACCTGTGAATTCACAATTAAAGAAGATATTCTCAACCAGCTGCAAATGTAACATTGAACCGTGGTTTAAGGCAGGAGTAAAAGTTTTGGTTATCTAGCCAAGTTAAAAAACAATAGCTAACTAGTTTAGTATCACAAGTACTATTCTTTAAGGATGTTACAAGACTATTTTTCAGGAAACACACCTAAAGGAAAAGCACAACTCAATAATTTTCTTGTTAGCAGTGGCTTTCAAAACCATTTAGTCATGTCCAAAAGAGGGAAGAAAAAAGGGCTACACGTCAGGTACCAGTACATTTATTTAGCTTGCAAAGCAGAACTAAATAAATTTCAGACTAATTCCAGAGCTGGTAAGAAAACTGCCAGGTATGAGGTAGTAGTTTTTGGAATCCATTAATATCATCATGGCCAATGAAAAGAACTCCAGGACTTTTAAACTTTATGTCTCAAAATTTCTTCTGTTTGCTTATTTCAGTGACTATTATCTGACATGCTTTGGAGCTCATCTGTCACTCAAATTCACATTCCTTTCATGACCACATACTACCCCCCCAAAAAAAAAAAAAACACAAAACCAACCAACCAAAACAAACCAAAGAAAGCAACCATCCCTTTTCCTGCAAATATCCTTGTACCTCCACATAAAACAAGCTCCATTATCTCCCAATTTAATTGATACTTCTTGAGAAAAACCTGAAACGTGTCTCCAGTTACAGCTTCTTTGACTTGACTGACATGACCTCTGAGAGTATTTATTGCTTCTAGTATAATAACCACAGTAGCTGGAAAATGATTTGGTTTTGCTTTTTTCAAAGCAGGAAAGGGGAAATTGAATTTGAAGCCCTACTGAAATGAACTAATATTCATGAATTCAGCATTCTTATGCAACTATGATGTCCTTGCCTTTTTAATGATATATGCTATAAAAATGTACAGTTTCAGAATGTTTCCTCTGCTCTACACCACAAGGATTCATACAATTCATATCTATCACGTGAGACCAGCTTCAGCTTCCCAGGTCCCTTCAGTGTGCTTTGTTCATGTGCTATATATATTCCTCTGAAAGAAATAACAAGGCTCTCCATGTAGAAAAATGAATTACTCTAGACAAGCACCCCAAGCAAATACAAAACAAAATCCCTTAGTTTAGTCTGGGTTGTGTAGTTTAACCAAAATGGTGATGCTAACCCTAGCTGACATCATTCCTTGCCTGGCTCAGCCATTTGCTTTGTGCTGCAGTCTATGCACAATGCAGGGACTATCATGTCCTATTAGACTGTCTCTCTAGGATATAAAATGCCTCTAAGCTAGTTTTGGCCTTTAGAAGCAAATATATTTAATACTTTATTAATAATGACTTTGTTTATGAAGTGCATCAGAAGAACCTGACTGTCTCTCTGCTGTCTCCAAAGATGAGATAAACACCATCTGAGATGTTCCCTCACAGCTAGACCATTGGTAGATGAAGAGTTCTCTACAGAGTTGCTGTAAATCAATTCAGAAATGCTCAAGAGCATCTCCCAGTGGGTTGCTTCAGCCTGGTCAGAGTTCAGCTACAGAAGCAGTGTGCAGGGCAGATCACCATCTCAGTACTTGCCCAGCTTTTCCCCCAGGGTTTCTAGCCCATGCTCTGCTTAGACACTGGTATCTGCAAAGTTAAAGCAGGAGTGGGGTGGCACAGCTGGCCAGAGTGGCTCTGGGACAGACACATGCTGAGATCAGTTAGCATCTGCATTTCTTAATATCTTCTTTTCAGTTGTTAAAAAGGTCCCACCATGAAGCTGGGAAGTCATATTAGCTTAGAAGTGGCACTCAGAAGAACAGAGCAAGGCAAGTGTCTCATCCTCCTGTGAAGTGAATAAACAAAAATGACACTGCCAACATGCTAATAAAATGTCAGTGCAAAAAAGAACAAGCCACAGCTGGCACGTCCCTCTGCCAGTTGTAAGGTCTCTTTTTCACCTCCTAAGTTTGTGTTCCCTCTCTCTCTCTCCAGGAATGCTGAGATGCAATTGTGGGCCCTTTCCTGTCACTATTAACCCTGCTCCTTACAGACAGGAGAGTCCCTCTGTTCTTAGGGTCCTCATTAATTCTTCATGCTTGAACATCCTCTCCTTTCAAGGTACAGGCAAAAAAACCTTGGTCTAGTGTAACTGCAAAGCTCATAAATTCTGTATTCTGCTAGCTGGATTAAAAAAAAAGTCTCTTACTACAACTGCTTATTTGTGTTGAAGCAATCATGCCAGTATAATTGAAGTATTTTGTTTGTGATTTACAGCTCAAGTGGCTAATCACCACAATCACCATCATCTTTTTGGGTACACACACTGCACTACAGTTATGCAACTTATTTAAAGTTTACCTGGCATCTTCCATGATTACTTGCCAACAATGCCATGGGAGCTTGCAGAGAATTATCC